AGGAGCGGAGACACATCTCTGGGGAGCTGTGAAGGCAAATGTGTCGGCAATAACGAGCAGCTCTGAGGACTCACAGAGATGAATGTACCGAGACATGGGGTGGTTGGGAAAGCTGGAGGCAAGTGCCAATCCTGGTTTGCCAATCCAGGGAATCTCTGTGCCCCACGAGACCAGACCGGGCAGGGGGGAGACAGAGCGGCTTTTTTGGTGGGGACCTGAAAAGCAAAGAAGTTTGTGCAGATGCATGGCCAACCCAGGATTCAACAGGACAATGCTTACGGTAGTGGATACCCTGAGTTATTTTTAAAAGAGCATGAGTAAGTATAGCATTAGCTTAAAATCAAGGTGGGGTTTATTATTACTGATACTGGCAATGTACATCATAACAGTTTTTTTCTGCTGTAGAGATGTGATTAGAGATGTCGATCAACTTACCTTCTTAACAGTGTTCCTTAGTTCCCTTTTTTGCCTTGGCTGCTGTATTTGCCTCAGCTGCCTCGGTGCCTGCAGCCCAGTAACCCGCCTGCCCTTTCCCTGCCATGCACTTCTTAATGCTGCATGCATGTGGATTTTCATTCTCTGAATTCCTCATAGAAGTTCCTATTCAATTTAATAATTCATATCCACGTTAATCTAGCTTTTTTACACCGTACTCACAGCCATTAAATTCAGTGACAAGGAGCATGTTTTGGAGACAGCTCCTGTACAGTATCTCGTACTACAGGTAGGTGCTACAGACAGGTGCTGCATTTCACGTAACGAGCAAATGTCTGTGAGATCTCCGCAAATCCCATTGCAAAACTGAGGTTTGAAAAACCTTGGCCACAATAAATTCTGCTTTAAAAACTCACTATAAATCCTGCTTTTATTTATTTTTCCCCTCAGCGATCATCCTTCGATGTTACCAGCCGATGCTTTTGCTTGGTCAGCTGTGGTCGGAGGGGTCTGTCCCTGCAGGTTTTCTCGCCCATGCTGCCGTGAGTGCCCCCACCACTGCAGCAAGGGGGAAAAGCTGCAAGGGACCAACACCTTGTTACATATTTAGGTCTCTCTTCTAGGAATATGTGAGGCTTTCTGTCGCCCATCTGAAGCTCGCTTTGCTTGAAAATTATTTTTCTGATGTTTCCAGTGGCATTGATGTCTCTTCTGTCCCATCCAGTGGCGTAGCCTCACCCCTGCACTGCGCCTGCTGTTTGGAATACACTGCTTGCTCTCTTTCCAGTCATTTAAATCTCTTCCGTCTGTACGAGCAGCAATTAAATCTTTATTTGACCCATGCTTGTCTTGGGGTCTCTGTGCAGTTTTTGAGAGGCATCACGGCCATAAGAATCCCGGTGGATTTGGGTGACATTTGAGTAGTTTAACTACAAGCTATCTTATGGGGATTTCTCAGCTGGTGCGTTGCTAAGGCTTTGCCAGTTGAAGTCCAAAGGCTGTGCCTGATTTACCAGCAGTAAAGCCCGTTGCACTGGCCTTCATCTTTCTTGGAGAGCGCCTTAGAGTGAAAGAGAGAGTGAGAGAGGAGTAGCTGCTCCGTCGGTCTCCCCTCTGTCGTTAGAGGTGGAGGGACCATGTGCTGCCATCACGATGCTGGTGCGCTCCGCTTTAACTGGCTCTCCGTTAGGCACCGTGTGCCTTTATGCAGCTGACAAATTACATGACAGGTTAAAGATTATCCTAATCTGCTCTGCTACTCTTCTGGAATTAGCTGAGAAGGGAGCGTTTACCATATGTACTGTGTTATTCTAGCTAGCATGTCCAACCTTGTTTATCTGTCACCTTCACACCTCATGTTTTTCCCTGATTCAAAACTGATTTACTGTTAACTGTTTACAGTGATTTGAACAAGAGAGGCTTGTAAAACAGACAGGAAAGAGGTTAAATTGCCAATTTCCCTTGTTGTCCTGGGGCTGGATCTGTAGGATTCCTATTCAAGTGATGAAGGAGAGAAGCAAATGGCCCATGTAAGCAGACTTCTTTCCTGGCTATCTCAGCAATTGTCCTCGACGCAAGTCGACAGCATTGGGTGTCCCAACCTTCAGCCTTTCCTATCCCATTCTTTTTTTTCTTTCGGCAGTATAGATAGACAGGAGGGCTGAGTCATGTTTGAGCTCTAGCATTAGAGACTCCAAAGCTTTTGTGCAGGGCGTTGTCTGTTGCATTGCCAGTGTTTGGATTCCTTTTTGTACTTGTTTTAACTGTTGTAAGAGACATTTTACCCTGTAGGTGATATCATCCCACATCTTCCTCCCTAAGATCTTGTGAAAAATTTACCTAAATAGACTTTGCCGTAGCGGTCAGGCGTTGCCTCCTTAGAAGCCTGGAAGGGCTGTCTGCTCCTTATCTCTGTGCTGGCAGGATGGGGAATAGCGTGTGCAGCCTGTGCATTGGTTTTGCAGTGAGTCACAAATGGGTGTTCATTGGTTTTGCAATGAGTCACAAAGCTTAATTTAAAGAATTCACACTTAGCAATGTGACAACTGTGATGATGGGGTATGGAGCAGGGAAACGGCTAAGGGACACGTTAAATCACATGGAGAAAAGCAGGTCTTGGCTGCAGATAAACATGTTGGCTTTCACCCATTTTGATGAGGTGGAAGCTGTGTTGACCCATCTTACTTGTTCAACACCTAGATTCATAGTTGGTGAATCAGTATAGTAGATTTGGAGTTGATGAAGCAATTCACAGTTATATCTGAAGACCTCCAAAAGAGGAGGGGACAAGGGTAATGTGGATGAATGACACAGTGAGAACCTTTTTAAAAAATGCTGCAGTTGAATTGATTTATGCAGTAAATTACATTAACCAGCAGAAATGGCATCACGCAGCCTTTCACTTTCAAAGGCGGCAAGGTGGGAACTGTGGAAAAATGGCTCTTTCACCCAGTCCTGTGTCTGGTACTGATGCTTTCTCTCCTGTATGCTCTACCATTCGATTTACGAGTTTTTGCAGGCAGTCGCTGAAGTGCGTGAAGGGTTGGGCCAGCTATGGCCTAGAGCGATAATTTCTCTCTTTCTCTGCATGACTGCTTGCCTGTCTGTTAGGGGTTTCGTATAAGAATACACTTCTCTAAAGTCAGAACTGAGCAGCAAGCAATTGGTTTGGCTGGAGGTGTGAGTTGGTCAGCTTATGGAAAGCAGAGCTGGGGGACAGGGAGAGTAAGCTTCTGTCCCCCTTTTTCTTCTGCGCTGGTAAAACTGCAGCTTCAGTGGTTGCTGTTTTCCTCATCTGTGCTCGTTGTGGGTCAGCAATTCTGGATTGAAAAATTCTAATACTGGGCTGGAATTTGATGTTCGTAATTCAGTTTTTAATCTTTATCCTGCTACTGGGATAAGCCTTGTTGTCTTAATGAAGTTGCACAAACGCCGTGTACCTTGACCGCCCAGCGAGAGGAATGATACCTGTGAAAACTTCTTAGGGATCTGTAAAGGAAAGGCAGAATTACTATCTATCTGTTGCATCTTTGACTTTATAATTTCAATCTAGGTTTCCTGCTTCATCCATGATCAGCTACACACCATAATCTGATTTACAAGGAGTAGCTTTCTTACTCTTTGTGTGAGTTCGATCCCACCCCTGAGTTCAACGTGTGCTCGCTGGCACCATGCTGGATTGGAAACTACTTGCCACTGGAAGTAGCCAGATCGCAACGTGCTTAGGCACGTTTTCTCTCTCTAAATACCCGTAGTTATGCCTCCAGCAACTACAAAGGGGTGTTACCCAGATGTGGCTTTACCTTACACAGGTGTAGCAGAGTGGAGTGTAAAACCTGATGTGGTATTGAAGAGTACTACCGCGCTACAGAAGATTTTTCATGTTTCCTGGTCAAATGTTCCTACAGGGGCCTTCTATTTACTTTGCTGTAAAAAGTACAGTCATTCTTTTGCTTTCTGCAGAGTAGCAGCTCCTAGGGAAGAGTAGAGCGGGCTGAGGCAGTGTGTATGCATACAGCCCGGGAGAAAAACACATATAGGGGTGTAAATAGCTTATGAAAACATTTGTCACCACTACAACATGATGCTGCTCAAACTGGATTATGATAGGAAACTGAAGAGTGTTGTGTTGTGGTTTTTTTTTTTAAACTAGCTTGTTTTAAGTAGATTCAATGCAAAATTAAGTAGAGGCAGAAAAGAAATTAAGCTCTTTGCCAGTTATGATATTTTAGAAATTCTTCGGTGCATCCCAACCCCGAGAAATTAATGTCTTCTTGGCAATGGTTAGCATGAAACTCTTGGTAATTCTTTTTAATAGATGTGGGGAAAGTAGTTTGAAGCTGTATTTATTTTTGCCAGTCTTTGGTGGAAAAAAAAAAGTTACTTTTTTTTGTTAACTTTTTTATTTCTTGTTCCTGTCTTCATGTCTGTTTTGTCTTTTTGCCATGCTTTTTTTGGTGCAGCTTTTAAAATTTAAGTGTCTCAAGGAAGAAATGCGTGGTCAAATTCTGTCCTCAGTTACTTGGGGGGAAAAAAAGTCAGAAAAATATATTGACTTTGCTGGTATAGAGCTGGATGTTTATTGAAGTAACCCACCAGAAGACTTTATCCTGTTCTCTTTGTTAATTTGCAAATTGACTTGTCTGGTTATGAGGCTACATAGTAAAATAGAGCAGGTTATTTTCAACTGCTTTTAATTCAAGGCAGAAGATCCAGCACCTGCTAAAGTGGGGTGGCCAAAGCAGTGCTTGTCTTTTGGTGAAAAGATTAAAAAAAAAAAAAAAAAAAGTGTGGTGTAAAGCCTAAAAATGAGCCTCAAATAGTAAATAAATTCTGGCTCTACAAAATAATCCTTTCTCTTCATCCAAACGTTCAGCCACGCTGACACCTGTGAGCAGATCCTTAAACTGGAGAGCAGATGTTTTAATGCTCTTACGTTTGCCTTGTCAACGTGACGCGTCGACAGCGAGCTGCAGCCCTGCCTTTACGTTGCGAGCGCCGGGCTGCTTCGGGCGGGTGATTTGCTCTTTGACCTCATTCTCCCTTTGAACCTGCTGCCGCGGAGTCCCTCAGCCCTGCGCCTGTTTGTCTTGTAATCCCCAGACAAGAAAAAAGCAGGCAAATTCCAGCCTTTCAAGAAGCTCTTTGGTAAGAGGAGGAAAAGAGAGCCCACGTCAGACTGCGAGGAAGCCAAGCTGAAGCCCAGCCACTCCTTCGGCAACGTCTGCAACGGCACCTTCTCCTCCGATGAAGAGCCAAACGGCGGTCTGAGGTAAGCTCACATGGGTCTGCAAACCCGTGGCTTGTTCTCCTTGCTTTTAATGGAATCAAATTCAAATTCTGCCTCTGCTGAGTGGTACCAAGTTCTATGCCGCTTTTTATGAAGCGTGTGCATCCCTGTCCCTCCTCTGAACGTGACGCCCGCTGCTGTAGACCCCAAGGTCTCACCTCTTACTTACGGCGTACATGTGCCGGTGCGGGTGAAATCCCGGGGTGAAGCAGAAATGCGTTTGAATCCGGCTCTGTGATTTAACAGAACTCCACGGCGAACGCCTGAGCAGTGGTATTAATGGCACCCGTGTGTTTAACACTGGGGAGAGGGAAACTTGAACTGGCTGCTACAGATACTTCACTGCGTACTTTTCCCTGCGAGGTGGCATCTCCGGGTCAGGACAGAGACACCCTCTCTCGGTCTACCCCATACAGGTTTTGCATTGCAGTTGGGGTTGACAAACAGGCTGCTTTTATTCTGATCTGAATTGAATGTAGGGTAGAAGAAGGAAGAGAGAGAGGCAGCTGGAAATCAGATTGTATTCCAGTGACAAGAGAGGACAGGAGGAGGGTGCACGAATTTGCTGCAGAAATGATGGGAGAAAGAAACTGCCCAGAGTTAACTAGTCAGCAATCTCTAACTAGGAACAGCATGGGGGAAAAAAACAAACGAAACCAAAACAAAAAACCACACCCCAGCAGCAAAAAACCAACACCAAATGCACAAACTAATTGGGTCAGTAATACTTATTTCACTTCCCAGCTGAAAGTCTCAGAGATGTTAGTTGACTCCTGGTAAAAGCCTGATGCTTTGGGAAAAAAGGAACTGTTTGCACTAGGGAGTGTGAGTATCTGAAAGTAACAAAACATATGTAAGGATCAAAACCCCATAACTTCCTCTGCTCGGGAAGGAAATGTGTATCAGAAACACCACCCTGCACAGGGTTTTCGATGGTGCAAAATCATAGCTGTGAAAATGTGGGGTTGGTTTGTTTGTTTATTTTTAAGCTTCTGGATTTTTTCTTCCATTCTGTGAAATTCTCTAAGTCCTAGGCTTCCCCGTTTGTTTCTGCAGTGCAATCTTGTACATCTCTTTTGCCTGTTCCAGCTTTTCCAAAAATCAAAACTGAGCATAGCCACACTGTAGGTGGAGACGTGACTGACTGCTGTTGCATCGCCTGTGTGCGTGATGCCGAGCGACTGTAGGAAGTTACAGTACCTTCTGCCTCAAGAGCAAACCAGCAAACAAGAGCAAGACAAAGGGCATCATCTTGCTATCAGGGATTTCCCATTTAGACTAGCTGAAAATTCAGCGCTGCGCTCAGAAACAGTGATGTGGGAACTTGTCCTGTTCCTCAACAGTGGAGGTGTGGCAGACCCTCGTGGGACTGTTAAATGCTTTCATTTATAAACAGATTCATTCTTCTAGTCAATAAAGTCATTAAATATAAGCCTCTAGTGGAATAAATCAGACTGTACAATTTAAATCACAGGGAATTAGCAAATGTGAAGGGTCCCACCTCTCAAGTGGAACATTTCCTTCTGTGCCTGTGATTCATGAGAGGTGCTTCCATTTTAGCCTGCTCAAAACTCAGTCAAAACTCTGTTTTCCCTGTCAGGCTTCATGGTGCAATTGTGGGTAAGATTTGGTAACAATTTTCAGTTTACACGTAGCGTTTGCCACGTTACTCATCTTACAACAAGCATAGATGTTCAGTTCAGTGCATTAGATTGCTCTGGGAAGCTTAATTTTTTCACCCTTTTCTGTTTTCAGCAGCATTGCTTCCATCCATTATATTTTTTTGCCTTTAGTATCATTTCAGATGCTTATGAATTGAATGCAGAGATAAACTATCTAAGTAAAATAATATACACAGTTGTTTACAAGTTGTCTAAGAGTAAATGCATTACCATACCTTCCATTATTCATATAGAAATGGACCAGAGCAAATATAAATAATTAGTAGTATATTTATGTAACCAAAATCCTGAATAGTTTTATAAAACCTTCAAACTCTTTAAGAACGTATACTAAGTATACGTATTTGTATACTTTTGTGTATACAAAGAGTTCCAATTTTGCAACCAAAGTCTGGGGGATGCTGCCATTCCTTTAATAGAGCTATATTTCTTCATCAGCCTGTAGAGTACATTAATTTGTTATCTGCAGATGTGGTTTTGTTTTGAGGAGGGAGAGGTTATTATTTTGAAAAGATATTAAGGAAGAAAGCTGCTTCAGGAAAGTAGAGTCAAGAAAATAAATGAGTACAGAGAGATCTAAATAAGAGGTCTGTATTGCTTCCAAGACCTAAGCTAGAGTTTCCCTGTGTGCCGTATTGGCTTACAAGCCTGCTCAGAGCCAACACCTGAATCTCTAATGGACGCTGCGCCGACCGGGTGATGCAGATGTACCAGGAGCCATGCAGGTAATCTGCATACGGTGTAGATCGACTAGCTGAGTTGGAAGCAGCCTGAGAGATCTGCCTGTCCATCCTTTCCTACAGATACTTCTTGGATTCATCAGATGCAAATAACTTGGTTGGTATCCTGATGTATGCACGCTTCAACCTATTTATTCATCCATGTTGTTTTGCAATTCTCAAGTGGGAGGTTTGCTACTGCAATTTGTCTTGCCCTGCCTTGTGAAAGACAAACTCCTTTTCCCACTCTTATATTGCCTTTCTCGAGTTTATAAAGTTAAAACCGTATTCATTAACTTTCTGTCCTACCCATGTGAGCTGGTAGACAGAACTGCTTATTACAAGACAAGTTAAATTGCGTTTGTGGAGCTTCACTAAAGTCTCCAGAAGCTTCTGTTCTGAGGCTATGATTTGACACTTTGTAAAATTTTGTATTTTTTGTCATTTGTCACAGTTGACACTAAGCAAGCTTTGTGAGGATGTAGCTGAAAGGGCGCCTGTGCGGTGCCCTATGACAAGTTTGTCATTCTGGGCTGATGGGCAGAGGCAGCAGGGAATTACATTTTTCTTGTAGAGACTACAGTAGAGTGCCTTTACTTGGGCTGAATGCAATATTTCAAAGAACGTGGAAGTAGACCTGTCCAGTCCTTAAGGCTCAGGTGTGCAACACTGATCTTCTTCCAGGCAAAAGTCTCTGTGAAAATCTCAGTCTCCTGAATGTGTCTGTCCGTGAAATGAAATTTCTAAATCCCCATCAAGCTCTGCATAATCCCTGTAAAACTGTTCTCAGGTCGCCTTCATAAAGTCATCCTCATTACAAAGAAATCACCTAAAGATCTTAGTTCTCGGTATATGCTGAGGAAGACTGCCTGTGAAGAAGAACGCATGAGAAATTTCCTGTCTCGTAAACACCTTTGCCCAGTATTTGCTGAACCTTTGCTGAGCGTGAATTGCTATTGGGACTGGACCGCGAATGACCCCGCTCTTTGCCTAGTAGAGCTGTGCGAAACTGTACAGCGGTTGCTACTCAGCTAGTGGATTCAGCTGCTTTTCTGCTGGTGGGGACCACGTGCATAAGCAGTGTGATTTCTCCAAATGTATTAGTCCTTTGAACATCCTCATTTTGGCCAGCAAAGTTGCTATTTGCTATACAGCTAACGAGCTGTATCCTTGTTGCACTTGATCAGATAATTCAGCGAGATAGTGTAGTTGCACTGATTTCTTCTACAACGATTGTAGAAGCCAAAATCATTCTGTTGCAAATATAAAGTTTAGTTTCTGACAATTTTACCAGCAGAGCTTCAAAATTATCTGTCCTTGACAACTGTCCTGACATCTCGCCAGGAAACTTCAATTCTAGAAATGTAAACAGGGCATATGCAGAGCTGAAGGAAAATATTTCAGTACTTTTTGTAATACTTGCCCAGTGTCTGCACTCAAAGACAGGCTTCACATGGATTTAAGGCAAGTATTTTTCGTCACTAGGCTATACAGGTAAGGAATAAACTGTTTATGGAGCAAAGCTCGGGCAAGGAGCATGGTGTGTTCCCAAGCTGCATCAGGAGTTTTACTGCTTGTGATGGGAAGTTCCTGGGGGAAGGCCCCAGGGTGGCAAACCGGGACACAGTGCCAGAGGTGCAGCACAAGTCAGGTCATGCATCTGTATGGAGCTGCAAGTTGTGCGAGCCGCTGTCTCCTCCTAAGAACTGAAGTCTCCCAAACTTCTCTGGGCAGTCCACCTGCCAACACCAAGACTGAATCTTTCCGTTTGAAAAGAGCAGAAGAAAGACTGGGGAGAGGGAAAAAAAAGCATTGTGATCTTAAGAGGCCTTCATTTAGTAATTTGCTAAAGATAATTTTTGTCAGAGGCTCAGTGGGTTGGGCTGTTTGACTGGTGGTTTACACCCAAGTCCAAATGCCACAGACAGTCTGAACATGGAAAGGAGGCCGTCGTTTCGTGCCAGCCATCAATGTTTATAGTGCAAATTTGGCTTCTCTCTGCTTAAAAGAGGCCAACGGCAATGATGGAAAGAATGTCAGTGACGCATGGTCAGGGATTCCATGGGATGGGGCACCTGCATAGCACATTTCTTAGAGGACACTTTGCCACTATTGTCCAAAGTACTTTTTAGAGGGGAAAATAATGTGATCAAGATTTGATCAGTCAGTTGAGTTGTGGTTTCGGTTCCAGACAGCTGATGTTGTTTATCTAAGAGGTATTTGACTTGTAAAATATAAATTTTAATGTGACATTAATTTTGAATTCTGTGCCTGAATGGCCACAAAGGGCACAGGCACAAATTTTCAGGCAGAGAAAAGATAGGAGGTATAGCTATCAACGTGGCTAACTTGTTAGTGCATTGAAATTTGAGAAAGAAGCCTACAGAAAGTGGAAACAAAGGAGGAATTGCAGAAAGATGTAAAGGAGAAAGATGTAAAGCAGCTCCATGGAGAAGGACCTTGGAGTCCTGGTAGTCAGTAAGTTTTCCACGGGGCAGCAATGTGCCCTGGTGGCCACGCGGGCCAATGGTATCCTGGGGTGCATTAAGAAGAGTGTGACCAGCAGGTCAAGAGAAGTTAT